AATTTGTTTATTTCCATACCCTCCAACAGGTTAAGTTTCAAACCTTTCTTCTGGAAATGGAGGGGTTTGTATTCATGGTCGAACTCATGTCCCTCTGAGATTAGATGACTGACATATGTAGAATTTATTTTTCCGTTCTAAAATGTATATTTGTGTTCCTTTATGCGGGTTTTAAACGTTTTTCCAGTTTGACCTATATAAAACATCGGACATGACCCACACGCTAATTTATACACTCCTGATTTTTCTGAAACTGAACTTTTATCTTTGTTATTTTTAATATACATACCCAAGTTGTTGTTGGTTTTGAAAGCAGTATTTACACCTTTGCTGTGCAGAAATATTTCTGTTGTGCCGAAATATTTGCAGAAATATTTCTGCTGTGCAGAATTTGTTACCATTTCACCATTTTTTTATCTGGCTTTTCTGAAAGAGTAGAAGTTATAGAAGAATTTCTCTGATTATTGTTATTGCTGATAGTCATATGGTCACTAAATGAAACAAGTAACAGATTTGTGAATCTACCAATAGGTAATATTTCTACAATGCAAGGTATAAAAGTCTGTTGCTACTGATATTATTAGTTATAAACAAAATTATCACCTAATCTTCAGATTCGTGATGTGGTATATCGTGAAAAAATTCACTTGTGATATCTGAAAGTTCTATTTCTGGTTTCAGAATTTCATTTATTTGGTAATTGGCATTTTCAGTTTTTTTTTTTTCGAAGCAAAAGAAAGATTTGTTGCATACTTATCCCCTATGACTAATATTATCTTGGCGTTTTCAGGCATTTCCAAGTCAACTCAAATTATTCACTTCAATATGTGTGAAAACCAAACTATTTAAGATGATTTTCCGAGATGTTTCACTCGATCACAGATCAACACTCACACCAAGACTTACACCTAGATTACCCAATTGGCTTTGTCGGTTTGACGATGACCGCCTGTCATTGATCATTAATGATTTCTCGACACGTGTTTGAAACTCGCATCAAAAATTTCACAAAAATATAATGCGTTGAAATGGTCATTTTAGACACTTCAACCGCATCGAGAAAACGCATTTTCATTATTCCATTTCACACGCGTCACAGAAAGACATCATATCGTTTAATATAGTCGTTTGATCGTAAAACATAGGAACACAAATTCGAAATTTTTTTAGCGTAGGGAAAAATGAAATTTCATAACATTGGTGAAATCAACGGTATTAATTTTGCGTTCTTCGGAATGTTTTATTTGTTTGCTTGGAATTTCAACGAGGAGTCTAGGGTTCAAAATAATTTGTTTTATTGAGTCGAAATTTATCAACTGTGAGACATCGTGAAAGATTTCAAAATCTCGTTCTCCAGTACTACAGAGCGTGAAATTGTTATTTTGAGGCTTGTGTATATGAATTCAGGTATGTGTGAGCCAGGACCGTAACTTGATAATTCATCCATCATATCAACAATTGTTTGGTAATGTCATGTTTCTTCGATCTATTTGTATTTATCTTTTGTGAATGAAGTTATATTTTCATTATTATCTCAACACATTGACAGTTAAAAGACAATCAACATTCTAATTTCTAAATTCCCAGTCAATCATCAATTATTGATTGATAATGCATGTAGGTGAATTTTTTGGTTGTCGCTTCAGATACACAAAAAACGGCACAATTGAATGAATAAAAAATGTAGATCTTGAATAATCACTTCATTTTCAGCCCAATAATGACAAAAGTTTTAGAATTATTCACTGAAATAAATTGGATTGAATTCAGAATACAGTTTTTCACGTGATATTTATCGTTTGTTTGCTAATATTTCAGAATTGGCTGATCCGATCCTCGAAAATGAAATAACAAGATATTTCGAGACTACATTTTCCAATTGACAAAAAGTAAGACAACATTTTGAAATTCCACACAGGATATCCATTATATTTGTATATTTGATAAGGAGATGACTGAAATTACAAAAGCTCAGATGTGTGTAAACGTGACAGAAAAAATTAACGGGGTGTCTTAAAATACATTGTTTAGGAGAAAATACACGATCTCAATCAGGAACGTCTACCGAGTGTGTACGATCCCAATCAGAAACGTATGCACGATACCTCAAAGTGTATTGAAAAACAAATCGATTTTCACTAAACAGTTTTACAAAAACGCAACAAGTGTTTCGCCATACATACATACGGGCGTATCTTTACATAATTCACAAAAAATTTCTGATACAGAAAAATAAATTACCAACGATTTATTTAGTTAAGACTTACCAAGAAACGAGCCCAAAGTTTGGAAAACTATTCTAATGATTAGTTTTTCGACAGATTTGTGAATCTATCCAATAGGAAGTTTACAATAAATGAAACGAGATTGTTAAAAAAAGGACACAGTCATAACATGAAACAATATATTATTTCTGGAATGTTTAGGTATAGAAACGGAGCAAGCTCTGAGAGAAACTTGAAATTACAATAAACATGTCGCGGAAAATATTTTGAAATGTGAACCTGTTGATCAAATTCAGTATAATGGAGAAATTAGAATTGCAAAGTCAATCAAGCAAAAAGCTACGGATGATGACGTTATTTTTACGAAAACAGATTGAGGTCGAACAATTATTGCATTACATAAAATAACTACTTAGGCAAAACTCTAGATTTCTTTAACTCAGGGAGCTACGATATTTTGATGGATGACCCTACAACTATGTACCAGAAAAAGGTTAAGGAAACCCTTAATAGAATTGGTTGTAAATGAAAAGGATGAGTGTAGAGCATTGATCATGAATCCACAACCACCAAAATTGTATTCTCTTAATGAATTACACAAAACCAATTTCCGATTAGACCTGTGCTGTCGTTCGTAATGCACCCACCGTAAAAACCTCAGAAATCTTTATAGATTTTATTCAAACCTATATCAATTTCAAGCTGAGATTCAGTTTAAATAATTCTTATCAATAAGAGAATAATATAAGAAACGTTATTCTTCCTGATAACGCAAAAATAATATCGTTTGATGTCCAAAATGTATTTCCCAGTTTTCCGTCAATTGAAACAATTGGACTGGTTGAGCGTCTATTACACAAAAACCACGTGAACCCACTAATAAAACAGGAAATTATAGATTTACTTGATATTCGTCTATCACAAAATTATTTCCAGTTTTACGAATAATTTTATACATGCAGTGAAGGACTAATAACGGGAAACCCTTTGAGTTTTTGCTGGCTGAAATCTCCATGGATAATACAGAGTATGAAATCCATAATAATCAGTTTACTAACAGTTTCTTGTACTAGTACAGATGCGTAGATGATATCTTAGTCTATTGTACTGTTATAGATAGAAAATTAGGCAAGTTCGCTGAATATGTCAATTCCATTTACCCGTCAATAAAATTCACCACTGGAAGGAAAGGAGATGATTCAATACATTAACTTCGACTTAACAATTACGAAAAATAACAATGAATATGAATTTGCAATTTTCCACAAACCATCTTACACATATTATCATACATAATTCATCCACACACCCTTACCACCATAAATTTGCTGCATTCAATAGTATGCTTGACAAACTATTGAATATTTCACTGTCTGAGAGTGATTTCCAGAGAGAGCCGAGTTTAATCAAACAAATCGCGGTCAACAACGGTTATAACCTAGATATTATAGACTTACTTCATTCCAAAAAACTACAAAAGCAATCCATGGACTAGGTCTACCCAAATTCAAATTGCAATAACGTCAGTTATAGGACATTGTCATATTTGGGTGAACCCACCAATAATTTTGCCCGTTTTTCGAAGACAGAATGCGTAAACGTAGCTTACAGAATGAATAATAGTCAAAGTAAACTTATTGAAAACATTGAATATAAAACTTCGATGTCGGATAGATCAGGAGCATATGAGCTGACTTGTGGCTCTTGCCCAAAAATGTATAGTGGCCAAACGGGTAGAACATTTTCCTAAAAAATTAAAGAGCATTGGAGTAATTTTGTAATTAAAAAAACCGATTCCACATTCGCAGCAGGAGGACTTGAATTCAACCATGAGTAAATACTACGTGTTACATTCAGAAGAGAAAAGTTTGAAACTCAGTCTTCTACAGTGTTTAGAAATCAATAGGTTCAAGAGTTCGGGTAATTTACTGAATGATCAATCAGAATTGAATAACTGCAATCAAGTAGTCCTCATATTCTTGCACTCACAGAAACCAAATTCAGTGTCAATTTTCTATATCCCGTCTATGATTTCCACTCCCGATTCAGACGTAATTTTGAGATTTTTTTTTTTTTCACCAAAAGCGTTCTCTTCTGTCAACGAGAAGAAACTCTGGAACCCCAAAACTTTCATGTTATGTGCTTCAAAATTATATCACACAAGATCACCTAGCGATACACAATTTAGGGAACTGTTCTCTCCACTTGAAAACACCATTGACTTTCTGCAAATCAATCATCCCAGTGCCAAAAATTTTCATATTCGGTGACTTCCATGTCCACAATATCGAATGACTCAAATTTCAAAATATCAACGACGAAGAAGGTCGTGAAGAAGGTTCGAACCCTTCCATCTGATATCCAACCCATGGGGGTGCATAAAAAACTTTTTTAGGAGTCTGTCATACTGGATTACTTTTTCATCATCTTTTCAGCAAATCTTGTCACTCGATCTCCATGTAATTGGGATGCAAAGGAAAACTAGTCCGCCATATTGGGCGGTCCATCAAAGTGAATTCACAATGACGCCACTTCACTCCTAGTATTCTCATTAAGCCCTTTCATTTGATAATATAAAACTGGAACTTGGCCAAATTCATTTACAGATAAGGAAAACTAAATGAAAAGCTTTTAATAATATTAGAATCGTTCTAACTGGACATTTGCCTTCGTTTTCGAAGCAGAACTTTTTCTTTATACTTTCGTTCACTCGCGTAAAATACTGAATACAAAAAATCGAACTCGAAACAGGCATAACTCTGAACACTATCCTACCTGCTAAAGTTCTCGTCCTCCTCTTGCTCTTCTCTGACCGATCTGGCAACAAGAACAACTTGCAGTACGGATTCCTAAGCTGCTGAGGCGATCTCAGGGTCAGTCCTGCCGCACAGACGATCGTCACCAACAACTGCAAAGTCGAGGGATCGAACTCGAGACGGATCTGGATCCGGCCCCCGATGCTGGGTGCCAAAGCCTGCTGCGATGGATCCTGGCGCTCAGGGCTGCCGGGCGACGTCACCAGCACATGAGGCCGTTCGTGAATTTCCGAGTCCTGGTGCCACTGATGGTGGATGCCGACTGTTTGACCTGAGGAGAAAGATGAGTGAAAAGTGTTTTGCGGTGGTTGCCAGTCGGGGAGAAATTAATCGATTCTTGGCAAGAGATCATTGCCACTTGAATAGTTGCATGAATTGTCTTCGAATCAATTCGAGTTACAAAACTAGTCAGAGAAGTAGCAGGAACATTTTAATAGTCCGGGAAGTGAGGTTTCTCATACAATAATATTGATTCTCACAAATAGTTCAGTAAAATTTCATGTAATCAACAGTAGCGATGCTTATATGAGTTTATGTAGTTATGAGTCTGAATTTGGTTACATATGAATCTGAATCACCACTACTCCTAATTTAATATCCCAATGAGATGCGATATATTTCCGAGTAGAACACTGTTATACTTTGGCGAATTTTGATCTATCAAATATGGAATCTCTCAAGAATTTACCAATCTACTCATCGAAAGTGAAAATTCTGATTTCAATAATTTAAACAATGTTGATACTGAATTTGTCGAATCCAGGAGATTCCTTTCATACATGAAATTTAAAATTTTTCCTACGGTTTCTTTTCAAATTTAGTAACAAAAGTTTTATTATTACCTGAATATCATTTGGTTTTATTATAAGAATATTCTTAGAGTCAATAGTGGTAAAGAAGTCAAAAATAATATACAGTGTGTAAAAGCCAAATGGAATAAATCCATTATTTAGGTTACTGTACATATTTAAAAAAATCCCGAAACACGTCAAATTCAAATTATAATTTGACATTCTTCAATATAAAAATGCCACCCCTACCTTCAACCCCCTTTGAATGACAGGTACAAAACGATTGAGATGAAATAAATTAAAATCATGTGGTTACCGGAATTCCATAAAATACACTCAAAAACTAAAATGTAATGCAAAACGTAATGAAATGCAGAATACGAAAAAGAACTATGGATGTTAACAAATAGTCTAATCAACAAGTTCAAAAACATGAAAAATAGAGATAAAGGTCCTAAAAATAAGAGCGATAGCTCGTTCGATTCGATTCGATTTAAAATAAGATTTTAAAAAAATGGTATTTAGTTTTTCGTTAATGACTCAAAAAATATTATTATTCAAACAATTTTGAAAAAAGCTCGTTAAAGAGGATGAAATTTTCGATAAAAAAGTCTCGACTCCCGAAACTCTACTTCCATCATTTATAATTTTAATTTGACGTTGAAAATAGGGTTCCGCGTGGCTGTTACCGCATGCGCGTGCTGCCGCTAAAGAGAGTACTATTGCAAAATAAAATATCTAACAATTGTTGATAAACATTTTTTTTCAATTGATATTTAGCTATGTTTAAATAATTTTTTTTTAATCTTATTTTGTTAATAACAATTACAAAAGTAGATGTTCAAAATGTTCATCGCCAACATCTTGATAATATCTTACTTTCAAATTGAACTGTTTTCTAGCATTATTCAACATATCAGGTGTGACCGACCTAATCGTAAGCGTTATTCGTTCTTTTAAGTAATTTAAATCTGAAGGTACAGTTTTGTATACATTGCTCTTTACATATCTCCATAAAAAAATTCAATGATGAAAGATCAGGTGATCGCGTTGGCCATTCGATCGAACCTCGCCTCCCTATCCACCGATTGGGAAATGTTGTATCTTGGTATTGCCGGACATTAACTTGGTAATGGGTGGTACTTCATCCTGCTGAAACCATTTCGTATTCACTGGAACTTGAGGGTTTCATGGATCAGGATATAAATTTGCTCTTTGAAGTAGTGCCAAATAATTATCGCCTTTCAAGTTGCCCTCGATGAAAAAGGGACCAATGATATGGTTTCCTATAATCCCTGTCCAAAAATTAACCTTTTGAGTGTATTGCGTTAACGTCTTCTAATTGAATGATCTTGTTATCCAATAAGTCCATTATTTGCTCACAAAAATAAGTTCTTTTATCAAAATCGTTTTCTTTGAGCTCCTGAGTAGATATCATTTTATAGGGATGTATTTAATTTTCTTTTAATATGTTACCTATCGATGTATGGCTGACATTGAATGTAGTGGATGCCTGTCTACTCGATATATGTGGGTTTTCCTCAAACTCAAGCATCACATTTGATTTGAGTTCATCACTCATTGCATTGGCAGCTGTTTTGTTATCTACCCCACATGACCAAACTCGCGAAACTGCTTCTCTATTTTGCTTATTGTTCCTTGAGATATGGGTGGTCAACTAGTAAATTTTTCATGAAATAGGCGAGCTACTTCATGTTGTGTAAGGGTTTTATCTCCGTAAACAATCATTTGGAAAACTGTTATTTTATGCATTTCAGTTAATTTAATCATTTGTCAGACTTGAAGTTAACGAACTTTAAACTCAAATTAAAATACTGACAAAACAAGTTGACAAAGCATTTCAAACTAACGTTGCCAGGGAAATTATTCACAGTTTGTCAAAGGATACCATCTAAAAACAACATTGTTATGGTTTTCGCTCACTTTCTTATATATCACTACTTCAACATGAAATAAGTTTTGAGTATATTGCAATAAGTTTTGAATGTATTTTATCGAATTTCGTTGACCATATGATTTTAATTTATTTTATTTTAATTGTTGCAATAAACATTTGTTGCGATAACATTTTCGAATAGAGAATGAAAATACCTTTCAAACGATATATCCCAAGCCTATACTTCCCATTCACAAAATTGGGGGTTGTACCTGTCATTAGACGGGGGTTGAAGGCAGAGGTAGCATTTTTTCGTTGAAGTACCTCAAATTATAATTTAAATTCAGCGTGTGTCGGGATTTTGTTAAAATGTGTACCTTAACCAAAATAATTAATTTATTTCATTTGGCTTTTACACACTGTATACAACTAACCCAAATCTGTAGTTAAATTACTGTTTCTACAGACTGTACAAGGGTACGGCAATGGGAAATCCACTGCCCTCCTTCATAGTTGATCTGTTCATGAGCATATTTGAACTGAGAAAAAACCAGCTGTCGCCCCTTATGAACGACAACCCTTGAAAGTTGAAACTTGTGCGACTTTATAACGTGCGATTCTTAACACGGTTTAGACAATAGGCAGTAAAACTTGATCTCTGGGTCTCAGACGAGTTAGATTACTTTCCATGGATTCGCAAATAATGTATTTGGGATTTTAATCGAAAAAACTGAGGCAGATAACCTTATTTCTCTCTTCTTCACCAACATATCACCAAATTACGATTAGGTTTACATAGTATTTCAAGTAAGGAAATATAACTTGATCCGTTCAACTATAAGGACGTTATATTATATTATTATATTTTCAAAAATGGTTTGTAAACTCACGAAAAATATAAGCCTTCACCTTCTCATGGACAGTTGTTTTAAGGTTTGTTCTAGTTCTACGAAATTCAGGTACTAGGACGTTAGGATCATGCACAGTTGATATAGAGCGTTCTGGTTTATTGAGGATAATTTCGGACTGATGAATCCTCTGTTCTGGTTTCGACTGCGAAATGATCCTAAACTGTTTTCTACCGTCCCGAATCGTTCTTACTCTCGAGGCTGAACTGTTGAAAACTGTTCCCGTTGCTCATATTCATGTGGAAATTTGTTTGGGCTATTTGCTAGGATGTTTTTTTTATTTATTTGACTTGAATAATTGATAATTGAGGTTAGATAACATTTAAACTGACTATAAGGATACGCTACATAATAAAATGCACATGATCAATAGTATTTTCTCGTCTTCATCTCTTCATATATACGATAGGTGGCACAGTGGTCTCCTCAAAAGCGTTCTGGTTCAAACAAGTGTCCGACTATTTCGGACTGTTTGAGATTTTTTGCTTGTAAGCATCATGTCTTGCTCTGTTTCTGAACAGTTTCGGATGTTAAAACCAGAACAAACATTTAATATCCAGTTATGGAACATTAAAAAAATCTCTCAAAATATATTCATAGTATCAATAATGATAATTATTGAATATTCACAATGAATTCTATTCAAGAGGCGTTTTGCTACACAGTAGACTGGTGTATCAAATTATTCTACGAAGTATTTTGTATAACAGTAGGTAATGACGAAACTTATTAGATGAATGAATAAATCTGGTAGATTTTCAAAAAAACAGTAAGGTACAATACAATATTATTTATAAAAAAACAGGTGAAATGATAGCATGAATGATTGTTCAAATTTAAAGGGTTATATTTTTAAGAGTGACTAAATTTTGGGAAAGTTTTTGGCTTCCCACTACTCCATCTGAAAGTTACTTCTTTGCATGATCTACACATCTATGCTTAGAGTTACTTCTTTCAAAATTGATTGCTTTCTTCCTTTCTTTGGATGATTCCCACATTTTTTGTATCAAGATGGAGTAGTAGAAAGCCAAAAACTTCATTTCCCAAAAAATAGATGATTGATTCTGACAAAACAGATAGATTTTGAAAGCACAATCAATACAATGTATCAACAATAATGTTGATTATGGACGTTTTATAAAAACGAGTTTGAAATTTGGTAATTATCAACTTCTTGTTGTAGTCCACATTGAAATCATTGGTTTGTCAAACCTGATTTGTTATCTTTATCCATTTTTGATTTATTATTCTCTATATGTCTACCCGAAGTGTTACCCATCTTATTTGTTATATGCTTAACACTTAGGTTTTGACATAAAATGACAATATTTGACCTGTTTTTCTAGAAGTAATATTGTATTGTGATTATTTTTTCAAAATTTATCCGTTAAACCAGATTCAATTATTTATCTGTCACTATCTACTGTTATACAGGGTGTCCCTGGACTTCCTCTTTTCCTCTCGGGAATGTATAGATGGGGTCAAAATATCACCAGTACTTCATATAACTTTTTTTCCTAAAAGTCTTCGTAACCAAGTTACGGGCCCTCGAAGTTACAAAATGAAAAATGTTTTTCTTTGATAACTTTTCAAGTGAATATTCAAAATCATCCAAATTTTGGTAATTGACTAAACAAATGAATTCC